CATCCCTACCCCTTCCCCTTCCGATCCCCCTCCCCTCCCCTCCTCCCTCCCCTCTGCTTTCCTCTCTTTTAAAGAGTGACCACTTTTCTTGGTAACGGCTCCTTTGGCAATGACTCTTTCATACCCTCATCATTTTTTCCGTTAGAATGTCTGTTGACTTTTTTCAAACTATATCCAGAATCCAGACAGTTCTTACCACCTCCACCATTACAGCTTTCATCTAAATCAGCATCATCTCCAGCCTATGTTATTGCAATAACCTCTGACTAGTCTTCTGGCGTTTAAGCTTGCCCCAGGGTTATATTCTCCCCACAGTAGCCAGTGACCCTTGAGCAACGTCCCCTGTAGCAGAACACTCCTGCAAGTAGATGGTTCCTTGGCTGTCCCAGAGTAGAGGCTGGGTCCCTATCATAGTCCTAAGGACACTGCATTATTACTGCACGTGGGCTCACCTCCTCCTCTCATCCTCTCATCCTCTCATCCTCTTATCTTCTCATCAAGGAGCTCACACCCTGCCCTCCTTGCTGCCTCTCAGACATCCCAAGCATCCTCCCACATTAAGACTTCTTGGTTGCTATTTTTAATGCCTGGATGTTCTTCTTCCAGATATTGTGATTCGTTCCTTCACTTTTTTCAGGGATGTACTCTATAATTGTCTGATCAGAAAGGCCTTTTCTGACCACTTATCTAAAAGAGCACCTTTCCTATCATTCTCAATTACTTTTTCCTGCCTTAATTATTTCCTGCCTTGGTTGTACATATCAAGGTCTTAACATATATGTGAGTTTATTTACCTCTTTCTTTTTTCTGCTGGAGTGTAAGCCCTATGATAGTTGGGGCTTTGACTTTTGTTCAGCCTAGCATCCCCAGCATTTAGAATAGTGCCTCATATCTACCAGGTACTCAATTACTTTTTTTTAAGATTTTATTTATTTATTCATAGAGATGCAGAGAGAGAGAGAGAGAGGCAGAGACACAGGCAGGGGGAGAAGCAGGCTCCATGAAGGGAGCCTGACACGGGACTCAATCCAGGGTCTCCAGGATCAGGCCCTGGGCTGCAGGCAGCGCTAAACCACTGCACCACGGGGGCTGCCCTCAATTACTTTTGGTTTAAGGAAAATATTCCTTAGGTACTCAATTACTTTTGGTTTAAAGGATAAATATTGCTATAATTCACATTTTCTAGAAGCCAAAAAAGGCAGAGAACTGATTATTCCCTAAAGACACCAGAAGAAATGAATCTCTGCCCACAGTGATTTTAGGATGTTTGACCTCCAGAACCATAGGAGAGAACACATTTCTGTTGCTTTAAGACACACTAAATTGGTGATAGTTTGTTTCAACAGCAATAAAAAACTGATAAGCTCCTGGAGCTATCTAAGATGCAGCCTCATAATCCTTTTTCACTCAGTGCTTCAGGTATGTATGGGTTGGAATTGGCATACATGGTAGTCAGTGTTGTTCGCTAAATATTTATGGATTTTCTTTTGGGTATATGGTGGGATTGTGTGTTACTGCCCCCTTGAAGTTAGGTGTGACCATGTGGCTTTCTTAGAAAGATGATTAGTTAGAAGTAGCATAGGTAACTTCCAGGTGAAGTTTATAACCCCTTGCAAATTTTGCCATACTGCCATTTTTCTTGTTGGAGTGTAGAACCTTGAAATAAATATAAATAAATAAATAAATAAATAAATAAATAAATTTATTTATTTATTTATTCATTTATGGAGTGAGGGAGAGAGAATCCCAGCAGACTCCCCGCCAAGCACGGAGCCCACAGTGGGGCTTGATCCCCTGACTCTGAGACCACAACCCTGAGATCACAACCTGAGCTGAAACCAATAATCTAATGCTCAACCAACTGCACAACCAGGTTTCCCACAAGTGTGGAATCTTGATGAGACATTCTCTCCATGAGTCTAGCCTCCTGAGAAAATAATGAGCACATTTCCTCAGCCGACACCAATGGACTTGTAGTGTGAGTAAGAGATCGTTTTGTGCAAGCTGCTGAGATTTGGGGGCCGTTTTGCCTAAATAGTAAAATCTAGCTCAAAGATTCTCAAGCATTTTGATCTTAGTATCTTTTTTACAATCTTAAAAAATCTTGATATCCCAAAGAGTTCTTGTTTATGTGGGGTTATCTATCAATATTGATCATGCTAGGAATTAAAATAGGCATTCTTAAATAATTCACCTAAAAGTAAATCCATTTTATGTTCACATAAAAAATATTTTCATGAAAAAAAACTGTATTTTCCAAAGCAAAAATAGTTTTATGAAGATAGTGGCCCTTTTATAGATATTTGTAGATATTTTTAATGTTTGGCTTTATACAAGCCAGCTGGATTCTCATATCTGCTTTCGCAGCATTCAAACTGTTGCCATTTGTTGTGGCTGAAGTATATGGAAAAGATCCAGCCTCTCATAATTATATTATATAGCTGTAAAGGAAGAAGTATTTTAATACCCTTTTCAGATAATTGTGGATATTCTTCTTTGATATTACACTAGAACTCTGTAAGCAGTAGTTTTTTAAAGATGAGTTGCAATGAGGAACTGAAATCATATTAATGAACTTCTCACTGTTACATGAGATCTATTAGTGTGTCTTTTTTTTATTATTCAGGTATAATTAACATACAGTGTTATAATAGTTTCAGGCATTAACAATATAATGATTCAACAATTCTATACATTTCTCAGCATTCGACCGTAAGATTCCTAGAAGAAAACATAAGCAACACTTTCTTTAACAAGAGCTATAGAAACATTTTTCTAAATATTCCTCCCCTGGCAAGGAAAATAAAAGCAAATTTAAGCTACTGGGACTAAATCAAAATAAAAAGCTTCTGCAGCTAAAGAAACTGTCAACAAAACAAAAGGGCAATTTACTGAATGGGAAAAGATATTGACAAATGACATATCTGATAGTGGGTTAATATCCCAAATATATAAAGAACTTATTCAACTCAAAACCAAAAAAACAAATAATCTAACTAAAAAGGGGCAGAGGACACAAAAAGACATTTTTCCAAAACAGAAAACAAAAAAAACATCTGGATGACCAACAAACACCTGAAGAGATGTTCACCATACTAATCATCGGAGAAATACAAATCAAAACCATAATGAGATACACGTCACACCTGTCAGGATGGCTAAGGCCATTGGTCTGTCTTGCCCGTAAATGCACGTAGGCCTGACTCTGGAAAGGCATCCATTTGGTCGTTTGAAAAACATTGACTCATTGGCTTTTGCAGATCTTCTAAATGTTAACACATTTCATTATACAAGATCAAAACTCAGTTCTTTAGTATTGCTAACAAAACCTTTAAAAAGGTTTTTATGTCAATAAGTTGTTAAAACACTGTTGCCAGACACAAGTTTCACAAAATTCTAGCATTCTTTTGGATATTCAAATTCCATTGAGTTTTGAGTATCAGCATTGTTTCCCTTGAAGTATCAAAACTCAATTTGTGGTCAAGAAACACTCGATTCTGCAAATATCAGCAAAATAAGCCTGAATAATTATGTTTTTTTTGGGTATTCTTTCATGTAAAAATGGTACATGATGAAAAGAACGTACAACGTGAACAGTATTTCCCGGAGATGACCACATGGCCAGCAGCTTCTGACATGGCTCTTAATGATCCTCACCCCTAGGAAATCATGCCTTTGTGTCACTCTCTCCCCTTGAATGTGGGCTGGAGCTGATGCTTTTTGCTTTTAACAAATAGAATATGGCAAAAATGAGGAGGTGTCACTCCTGTGACTGGATTATGAAAGACTATGATTTCCATCTTGCTGGATTTGTCTCTCTGGTTCTTCTCAAATGCTTGACCCCATGGAGAGGGCGACCTGGCCAAGAACTGAGAGGTGCCCTCCGGCCAATAGCTGCAGGGAACTGAGGACCTCAGTCCAAGGACCTCAAGTAGCTGAATCCTGCTAACAACCACACGGATAAGGTTGGAAATGGATCCCTCCCCAGTTAGACCTTGATATGTTTGTGGTCCCAGGTGGCACCTTGATTGCATCCTTGTAAGAAACTGAGCCAGAAGACCCAGCTAAGCAGTACCTGAATTCTTGACCCACAGAAACCAAGATAATAAATGTGTGTTGTTTTAAGCTGCTAGGTTTTGGGGTAAACTATTCAGAAATGGATAACTAATACAACTATCTACTTCATATATAGAAGTGCTTTATAGATATGTTTAATTTTTGTCACACGGAATATTAAAGTGTATCCTTAAGTTCCAAGATTTAATGAAAAAAATAATGAATTTTTACTAATTCATCAAAGATCTTCTTAAAACCGGAATTATAGTGCATGGGGATGACGTCGACATAGTCTGCTAGTACCAGTTGGCTCTACTGCCTCAATCGGTTGTAAGCACTCAGTGATTCTGTTGCATCTGTACCATCAGCGCAAATGCCAACATAGTGAAAGAGGACACAAGCCAACACAGTAACAAAGGACAAAAGATGTTTTGGGAATTGCTTCGATTTCACAGAACTCTTGAAAAGTTCCCCAGGATCCTTCGGGACCTGGGGATCATACCTTCAGAGCTGCTGGTACAGACCATCCCAATGATCACGTGAGATGAATTGTTAACTTGCCATCTCTAGTCGATGTATTACTACACAGTAAAGTTGCTTCGGGGATGGCAATGCAAAATGCTCTTCGTCTAAAGAAGAAAAGTGGTTTTTATAAAGTTTTGAAACTCTGCCTACAGAGTACATGCACGTGATGGACTCTGCTTATCGATTCAGGACTCCTGAAGCACACCTCACTCTCGCGTTTACCACCCGTCCAGCGTTGGTTATCACTGTTACTTGCTGCTGCTCGTATCAGCATCTTGATTTCTTGATCACTAGGGAAGGTGGTGTTCATATGTTTTTGTGTATGTGTTTGTGTGGGAACGTGTTTTTGTAGGAGTTCTGTAAGAAGGAATCTAGTACAGCTTGGATAAGATTGACGACTATTTCCAAGTACCTAGTCCGTGCCTGGTTCAGCAGCACATATACTAAAACCGAAACGATACAGAGATTAGCATGGCCCCCATGCAAGGATGACATGCAAATCCAAGTACAATATTTCACTAGTATCTTATTATTACTAACATTGGTGCTGTAGTGAATAATAGTAATACTTCCTTAGGGCAAGGAATTTAGAAAATAAATATGTGTGAATCAAAAATTATGCATTATTTTCCACCAAGATAAAATCCTTGCTAGTTTTTTTTTGTGTGTGTTTTCTTTCTTTTCATGAATTTGAAATTCAAAAATTCAAATGGGTAATATTTTTTAAAATTTTAACAATATTAATGGGCAATTTGAACCCTAGAACTTGCTTTCAAACTTCTGCAGGTAGAAGTTCTCGCGCTTGCAGATAAATTAAACACCGAAGTACATTGATTTCGTTGTGAAGAATCATGATTTCACATCACAAAGGCATCGGTATTCTATTAACCAAAATGTTTTTTAAAAGTTAAAGCTTCTTCACTCTAGGTTAATTTTGTTTATGTTGTTAAACATTTTATGTAAAGTGGTAATAAAATATGTTTTTGGCCTACTTTTTACATGCTGTCCTATATATTTTATAGACTCTAAGTTCACATGCGTGCATGCATCAATATACAAATTATAAAGCAAAGGAAAGGCATAGTAAGAAGCACATCATAATTATCTTGTATTTTTAAGTGATGGAGATAACATGTTTCAAGTTCCTGAAGATTGATGTTATTTTATTAATTATGGATCCCTAGATATTAATTATGGATCCCTAGATATTACAAGGCAGTCAGCAGTGGTTTAAAATAAGGGTGATATTCCCGTATGCATCCTACTCCAGAGCATGTCATGATAGATTAACTGAGCTCAGATGTCTCCGCTGTTGATCCTTGTCACAGTGGCTGAGCTGATCCTTTGTAGCTGATTGACACGTTATGGCCAAAATTAATACGCTAGCCAGACCTCCGATAGACTGTCATGATGAAATCTCTCATTATTTTTTTCCACCTTGATTTCTACCAAAGAGTAGATACAAGTCCCTAAAAACACAATGTAAAAAAAAAATCCGAAAATAAGTAAATATTTTCTGTGGCTGGCTACTTGCTCATCTCTTTTTCACACTTACACCTATTGATTTCAAGATGAAATTAGTTTTAAAAATAAAAGTGCTCTTAAATGGTATAGAAACAGCATGTTCTTCTATCTTTCAGGGGTCAGAGAAGGGTCACCGTATATAGTTATATATACACATATTCATATAACTATATATATATATATAACTGTTTTATATTTAATGGCCAGGGATTCCTGCTATTAAAAAGCTGGGTTCTAGGCTTTTACTGTTCTCATTTATTATTTATGAAGCTCTGTCAGTGTGTATGGTATTTAATGTTCGATGAAATTGTCCCAGACAAATTCCCCTCCCTCAGGAGCCTCCACGCTGAAAACAGGAGAACGATGCAGGTGAGGAGTTGTAGGAAGGTCAGAGAGCGACTAAGGGTTGCACACTTGGCATGGATTTGCCCAGTAGGTGGACAGCGAGGGGGACTTGAAGCCCGGGAAATGATTTTGAGATTGAGAAGCCATTCAGTACAGTGAAACCAATAACTAGAAGCAAGGAAAGGCATCCGCGAGGAGATCTCACCCTTTAAGTGAGGAATCTACATCTTCACCTCCGACATTTCTTCATACGCTGGGTTCACCTGGTTTCTCAGCATCACCTTACTTACTCACCGTGTTCCAAACCAGTGGGTCTCAAACTTGAATATCATCAGAGTCCCGTGCAGGCCAGTAGGCGTTGTTAAAACCAGTTGTGATTATGGGGCCACATGTTGGTCCAAGTATCTGAATCAGCAAGTCTGGGGTCTTGAGTGTGCATTTCTAACAGGACCTCAGGAACTGGGGGTGTTCCTTGGAGCACCTCCGTCCTACACTATAACTCCAATTCCTCTTACATCTCGTCCTCTAAACCGCGGCTGAGAGTTGTCTCCAATGCTGAGCTCACACTCAGACAATTCCCCGGTTCTGTCTTTGCTTTCCTAGGCATGTCCTTCAGATTCGTGTTAGCTTTCTGACCGACCAGGTACAATCACTCTTCCTATCACTACTGCCAGCAACAAGAGACACTACAATCACTACTCTGACTACTTGGAACACCTACTATATGCAAGACAATAATCACTCTTACGTGTATTATCTCACTACATAATGCTACTAGATCATCTGTATTATCCCCACTTGCAAGGGAAGAAGTTCATTTGCAGCAAGATTAATTCACTAGCAGTGAGTATCACAGAAAGGATATGAATGAAGGTTTTGTTTTGTTTTGTTTTGTTGATCATTATTTCCTTTTATTTTATAAATTTATTTTTTATTGGTGTTCAATTTGCCAACATATAGCGTAACACCCAGCGCTCATCCCGTCAAGTGCCCCCCTCAGTGCCCGTCACCCAATCACCCCCACCCCTGCTTGCCTCCCCTTCCACCACCCCTAGTTCGTTTCCCAGAGTTAGGAGTCTCTCACCAAAACCCATGTCTTTATGCCCATCTAGTATTCAGGCCCTGCCCCCAGTCCACCTCTTTCATGCAGTCCCTCATGTGGTGCAATAGTGAGCCTTCTCCCTTCTCCCAACTGCTAATGATCTCCTTTATATTACAAAGGCCTAGGATGTGATGAGGTGGCATTAGCAATCAGTCCAGAAGGGATAGATTAATCAAGAAATGTCACTTGGATAATTAAATGCTTGTGTGACACAACACACAAGTAAGTAGCAGATGGAATAAAATCCGCAATGTAAAAGATAAAACTGAAGATTTTAAAATAAGATGTAAGATGCTAAAGTAAAATGTCACACAAGTGTAAACACAAACACCTGTCCAAATACAAAAAAAAAAAAAAGTTAAAAAAATGAGTTAAACCAAAAACCAGGGAAGTTATTTGCAGTGAATTTGAACAGTGAAGGATTAGTTAAGGAAATATATAATTAACTGTCAAATCTTCATGATTCACAAAAGAGGAAAACCAGATGGCCGATATGTTTATAAAAATATGTTTAGAATTCGGAAATAATAAGGGAAATTAATGTTGTATATCAGCACAATAGAAGTCCACACACATGAGATTAGTACGTCTGAGCATTTGCAGAGATGTGAGCCCCTGGGAATTCCTGAGGTATGCTGTTTAGCATGTGACTTATTTCAAGTGCTTTGGGAAGAAGTTTGAAACACCTACTAAAGTTGATGATGCAGGTACCTATGACTTAGCTCATTCTACTTCTAGGTAAATACTCCAAAACATGTCTTCAACAGACACACAAAGGTGTATGTGCCAGGATGTTTACCACAACGTCCTAATAATAGGAATACATCGAGAACAAGGCACATATTCTTAATAGGTCACTGGATAATTAATTTTTATATTCTATTTATATAATCCTTCAGTTAAAACCGTTAAACAAAATCCATATGCGCTATCATGGATCCTTCTCTTGAACGTAATGTAGAATATAATTAGTAAATCACAATGTGTACCAAAGTGATACTATTTTTATAAACTTAAAACACACAAATCCTATATGTTATTTGTGAATCCAAACATATGAGTTAAAGTAAATATACAAACAAGAACATATACCAATTTCGGGATGATGGTTACCTTTGGGAAAGGGGAAGGAAAAAGGGATGAAGATTGGCCTTAATTGTATATGTAATCTTTTGCTTATCATTTAGATTAACAAATCTGAACCAAATATGGCAAAGTGCTAATACTTGTTAAATTAATGTGGCAAATACTTTTTGTAAAGATTTTATTTACTTATTCACGAGAGACACAGAGAGAGGCAGAGACACAGGCAGAGGGTTTCCCTGCGGGGAGCCCGCGGTGGAACTTGATCCCAGGACCCCGGGGTCACGACCTGAGCCAAAGGCAGACGCTCGACCACGGAGCCACTCAGGCGTCCCAATGTGGCAAATACTTTGTGTTCTTGAGTCTTGCTTTTTATTTCCATACAAAATTGTATACAAGGATTGCCTTCACTACTTTCTTTCTTTCCAAAACCTATACGATGAGTATAATGGTTTGCACAACAATTTCTCAGAAAAATCAAACAAGATGTCAAAGTATTTATTACATATATGTTCTTTACATGTAGAGCTAAAAGGAGTAAGACAGGTCCTCATCCAAGGAGATGGAGAATATATAACCAGAGAAATCAAGTTAAATTACATGAAACAATTAAAGAAAGTTAAGTGCTATGATGTATAACAGCATTTCCCAAAAGATCCTTGAGATGTTAATAGATGTTTTATTAAAAAAAAAAAGGCTTCTATGGTCAAATAAGTTTGGGAATTATTTCATAAGACATTACCCTCCTAGCAATTCACAGTGCCCATTAACATACTAATGACTGGAAACTTTTGCAGCAAAGAAAATGGTTGTATTTTGACTAAGCCAGAATGTTCAAAATGTCTTTCACCAAGGAAGACTTTGTTAAAATGTTTCCTTTTTTGATCATGAAAATTTTAGAAATGAAGAGACAAAAATAACACAAGGTATAACAGTATTTTTTCAAACAAATTTTGCATATTGATGACAAAACATTTCCAAAACTAATTTTGCTGGAAACATTTTTTCTTCATTTATTCATTCACTTCATTCAACAGGTATTGTGAAATATCTAAAAGGAAATGATAGTTTCATAGTATATAGGAAATATATGCAATCCAATGTATAAGATTTCCCAGAATTAAATCATGAATGATTTCTCAGAGTAAAAGAACTCAACCCTTTAAAGTTATATTGAGCATAAATCTATCCGCAATTTTATTAAAGAATTAATTTATATGAATATTTGTAAATACTAGGTATATATCCTTGGTTCAGTATATACAGTATACAGTATTATACAGTATAATTTTGACACAACAATAAATAAAATTAAGCAAAAATCTGTTGACTTACGCTCTATTTTTCATTGCCCACGCCTAACGCACTGTTAGCCAAACTTAATATCAGAAAGGAATTTCCCTTATTTCTACCTTTGTGGCAATTTACAAATATATTAAATACGGACGTTAAATGAAAATATCAAAATT